TTAAAATTTATATTTAAAAAGTTAAAAAATAAAATAAAATATGTTAAAAATAAAAAAAAATACATTTAATAAGAGTCATGTTTTAATTCTTTTATTTATTATTTTATAATATACATATATAAAAAAACGCTACTTAAAAATATATGTACACTTGAGATGGTAGGCGAAATATGCTATATGTTTTTTTAAAGAATATTCATAAGAGATACTCTATGGTTTTTTTTTTTTATTTCTTTTTGAACAAACTTGCAATGGCACGGATTTGAACCATTGCTCGGATTTGAACCATTGTCCTGAAAATAAAGAAATGCATTTATACGTGGTCTGACGTCACTAGATCGAAGGTACAAATACATAAGAGATATTCTATGTTAATCGTTAACTTTTTAAAAATACATAAAAGATATTCTATGTTAATCGTTAACTTTTTAAAAATATTAATTTAATTATCAAAACAAACCAGTAGAAGCCTAGTTTGCTTGTATTTGGGGCACCTGACATAGAGAGTGAGAGAATTTGGATTGTGGCTATCATTGGCTCTATGTCCCCGGGTCATCTCTCAATATCAGTTTCTGTTTGTTCAATGAAAGTTTGCTTTTTCATTTAAAAAATTATTGTCAATAATTTAAATAATTTAATAATAATTTTTAAAAAATTTTAAATTTTAAATTACATAACATATTAATAAAATTTAATAAAAAAAAATTTTACCCCCCCGTTATATAATCGACATAAAATATATATATGTACATTAGAAGCCTAGTCATCGTAATTTGTCGGGTATCTATAAAAATAATAGAAATTAGATAGGAAACCCCAACCACTTCTATAGGTGCTAACTGGTGTCATTCATTGACTAATATAGCTTCATCCCCCCCATTATCACTTGGTTTAATAGCAACAAAAAAACTCATGATATTCAGAAAATGACATTAAATATCCAAAATTAATGTATGTGTGTATCAAATATTTCTACATTAAATCATATTATTTCTCATGCTGAATCCATACTTTTTAATGTCTGAAGAAAGACACATTAGTTGCTATAAGAATTGATTTTTGATATTTATTGTCATGAATTTGCTCGTATGTTGGGAAATTTTATTGACATTAAACCATATTATTTTTCATTATGATTTCTGTTTGAGAATGTTGTTTTACAAGTTAATGTGGGGTGAAATAAAGATAAAATAACATTAATAAATCTTTATGTATCACCAGTTCATTAATGATATTTTTATTTTTTCTAACTTGAAATTGATATTTTTAGGTGCTACGCATATTATAAAAAATATTTCTGTATTTCTGTATTTCTTTAATTATTCATGGACTTAAAAATGTACGTGTTTGTCAACAACTTAAATAATTTGATGATTATTTTCTTTCACTGAAAATAAGAAACTTTGAGTTTGAGTCGTATAGCCGCGAATGAGATGAGATAAAGGATAAAAGATAATTATTTCGTATCGTGCAATCAAAAAAAAAAAAAACACCGTTAAAAATGGGCCCTTAGCCCCAAACCGTGAATATTTCAACGGAAACACCAAAGCCTAAACTATTAAAATGTAAGGGAAATATCCCAATGGACCATGGAGTATGCGGCTATGGGCCTTTGGCTAACAATAGCAGTCAACAGAGAACGCTGTAGGAGAGCTGAGTGAAGTTTTTCGTAATTATGGGGGCAAAGTTCACCTTCTCTATACCACAGGGGGCAAGTGCATTTTACACTCTCTTATACTTGACTTGACTCTCATTTTGATCTTGTTCATCACGTGCTATATTTCCTCCAGATATGCCACGTTGTAGATTCTGGTCCTAACAGGTGTATTTCAAGTCAAAATTGCCAATTCACTCCCACCCACAAAATCCTCTCCTCTCTTCCCCCAGTTCCCACAAACAACGGTCACAACTGAACTTGAATCCCAAAATATCCCTTCTTTACTGGATAAGGCTCCCTCAGTGGCTTTCGGTAAGTCCTCAATAGTAAGCTTTCATCAATAACTTCGTTGATGTATTTGTTTAATAAGTTTTCTGAGTTGCCTACAATGTGTTTGAATAAATGCCAATGTGAGATGGTACTAGCTGTTTCACAGTTATTTCCTTTTCCGTTGATGCCATGAGGATGCCCAAATTTGAGTTTTTTTTATATGGGTGCAGTTTGAAAGATTAAAAATTGAAACTTCCTGCTTCAATTTCTTGGAAATCAGTAGTTCAATGTGTGGAATACTTTTTGGTAAAAAAATAAAATTTAAGGAAATACTCTTCAAGAATAATTGACAAGTGTTTCTTCAATTACTTCCCAGAAGGTTTGAATACTGCCTTCTAAATGATGCTTTCTGTAAATTAGTGTAGCTTGGAAGTCCTGACCTTAATATCTTATTCTTCTTTGCTCAGGACATTTGATAAAGATGGAAATAGGATCTGCCAGGTAATCTTTCCTGATAATCTTCCTAACAGATCTGTTATGATTATGTGTTCCTCCAACAGGCTTACTTATAAGTTTAATCTGACTGCTCCTCAATCTTGGGTTGCACTTATTTGCTTCATGTTGTTCTTTTAGCCATGTTATAGTCTTGCTTGCTCACTTGGTTGCCAAAACGTGTAGCGAATAAGACAATGGTGAAAGGCTATATCAAATTATTAGAATACCATCTTTTATAACATATTTTATGAGATTGTTATGAATATGCCATTTGACAAAATTAAATGTGATGGTCATTGGTCAGTGAAGCCATAAATTGAACTTTCTTAATGTTATCGATATTCTTGAGTTCATTTTTTCCGTCTTTAACATCCCTTGTTTATAAGTTAGATACTTTTCATCTTTCTTCTTACTCCTCTTTTTTTGAATAGGTGTTGTCTTAACAAGAAAGTTTCATGGTCTTCATGGAACTTTAGAACATTAGATTGGGATAAAAGCCATAATGTTCCATATAATTTGGCTCCATGGAATTTGAGGACAAGCTATGAAAGGTTATCTCATTCACATTTATCTTCTGCTAAAAAGGATCTTAAGAGCCATGGTTTCTGGAAAACGTATTCTGCACCTGTTGGTTTGGAAGAATCTTCCTCACTGTCAGAAGATGCTTCTACTGATGGCGAAAATTCTTCAGTGGATCCACCACAGCAGCTTCTTGATCAGCCGATGGGCAGTGATGAGGTAAACTTAAATGAGCAAAGAATTTTCTTGTTTTATGAATATTTTAAGTTATATTGTTCTATCAACTTAAATTGACTTTGACCCAGATGTTATGTTCTTTCTTGCAATAGAGCAATTAAAGTTGAAGACAGGAAAACTACAAATGCAGTAAACACAAGGTTTGACTGTTGTCAATTTATGGAACAACAAGAGAGAAGACATGTAGGGACTGGGGAACAATAGAGTAAATGGGATGGGAAAGCAGAGGAATATAGGAAAGGAAACTGAATAATTGCAAATCATAAATAACATATGTCTACACTACCAATGACACAGACTGGTATATATATTTTTCCCAAAAAAAAAAAAAAAAACCTATTCCATGACTAGATCAAGTAGTTTTTAGAAATTGTGGATTTCCTACTATTTTTGTGCTCATTTCTCAATTATGAACTGAGAAATACTTCCTCCTTAGTCTTGATTGATAGTAAATTAGTGAGCAATAACTACAAGTTGATGATGAGTGAATTTGAGCAGCTTCTTTTAGTTGCCTAGATACCCTTTCAGTTAAGCATTGGAAGCTAATATATTTGCAATTCTCTGACAGCTGAAGGCACTGCTAGCTGATTCTGAAAGAACAAAGCTCGTGAAAAAACTAAGTGAAGCTAACCAACAAAATCGATTCCTCAAAAGACAGGTTTGTGTATATCCATATTTAGGTATATATTCCCATTGCTAAACACCATTTTTGTTTGGTTTCATCCTTTATACCCATTTATGGCCACCTATATGTCTTTATCAGCTTTTGACATTTCAAATTTGGTGCAAAGCTGTTATATGATGAAAGACTGTAGGGACTTGGATAAATAAAAATGAAATAGGATCACAGTCTGTTTTTTTGACCGAACAGCCTGGGAAGGGAATAAAATGAGGCAACGATATAGAAAACAAAGTCATGGCATGTTGAGAAATATTACTATTGATTTACTTTTAATGATCAAATTGCACATATGACTGACTAGAATGGAAAAGAAAAGAAAAGAAAAAAAAAAACAAAGGAAGGGAAGAGAGATATTAATTATTACTTGATATAGGATGGATATGAGAATATCTGCCTACTCAAAAAGTGGGGTGTGTTTAAAGGTTTTGAGGTTTGATCTTGGGGTGATTTGAAGAGGAAACTATTGGAAAATTACAGATTAGTTGTATAAGAGATTATTTAGGTACAAGATTGGTGGAAGAAATTTGGGATTTACCAAATTTATGTGCTGTCCTGGTATTTGAATGATACACTTGAACAGGATTTTATCTATTGTCACAGTAGAATTTGTCTCAAAGGTTGAGCATCAAGGTGAATTGAAGTAGATCTCGATTGGGTTTTGCAGGGTTCTATGGTTGCAAGTTTCGAATCTGAAAAGGGAAGCCTAAATCACACCTAGGTTTCCTTAAGAGAACACCTTCAGTTGATTGCTTTCCACAATCCAAAAGAAACCAGAAATGCTCTAAATCTATCTTGAACTTGATCCCTCCCTCAGTTTAAACAAAGTACTTTGTTGTATAAACAAACTATGGTCTTCTGGTTGACCTAAATTCTACATGGACTTAACTATTAGTAAACCTTGTATCACAAGGTCCTAGATAGGATAGACTTCATAACTTGTTGAACTACTCGACTGAAAATAAAGCCCAACAAGCTATTGTGCAGCACAATATCAACAAACAGAAAGTCACCAAGATTGTCTAGAGTCTCTTAAAATTAAAAATAGCTTTAAAATAACATAAGAATAAAGAGTAACATTAACAACTGTTAAGACTTTATCACACTTATTCTGAAGCTCCTAAAAAATATTGGACCTTAGTTTTTGGAGTGTTGAAGCATAATAGGAAAACATCTAATTTTATTTCAAGTACATTTTACGCTGAAATTAAATTACACTGTGAAGAACCTACATAGAACAAATGGACACAAAATAAGAGCATTTTTAACTGACATATTGGTTTTGCTATGTTCCCTACAGCTATATGCCAAGGATAATTCTCTGGTTAACTTCAAAAGCGAACTTGCAGTCATGGAACTAGAAATTCAGGTTTACTCTTCACTTCAGACATGATCATTAGTCATCCACATTATACTTGTTTGGTGTTTAAGAATTTGTAATTTCTCATTAGTGCTTGATTAAAGCAAATTTATTGAAAGAATATCATTATACGGTGTCTTTAAAAATTTCTATTATATATGATTAATCTAATATTCCTAGAAGGTTAACATTTTTGGTTCAACCTTGTCCATGAAATTCTTTCTTTGAAGATTGAACCATAGATGGACCCATCTTTTTCTTAATGGACAGGCTTTAGTCTCATTGGCAGAAGAAATTGCTAAATCTGGCATTCCTGAAGGTTCAAGAAAGATCAATGGGAAATATATTCAATCTCATCTTCTTGCACGCTTAGAAGGTATGATGATTCTCACTGCCTTATTTTGAATTAACAGAATTTTGCCAACTCCTTTTAGATTAACATTTGTTCTTCTCTGGTGTATAGCCGTTCATGAGAAATTGAAGGAGCAGATAAAAGATGTAGAAGCTGCACAGTCCAAGGAGGTTCCACTGTTCTGGTGTGGCATGGCAGAGGTAACTACTAAAGAAAGTGCCTTCATGCTTGCTTGTAAAGCAAATGATAAGATCAGCTTGCTTATATCATGAGGTGTGGTGTTTAATAACAAAGGCGGTTATGATTATGAGGTGCATATTCTGATTAGCTTAGCAACAGATTCTGTCGCAAAATGGATATCTTTAGTTCTTGTGTTTATGTTGGTTTCCTTCTGTCTTTCCTTGTGGTATATCCAATAAAACATTGAGGACCTTATATGCCTATATGTTTTGGTATTCTATCAGAGTGTACAAGTGATGGGCTCTTTTGATGGGTGGAGTCAAGGAGAACACTTATCACCAGAATACACCGGTTCCTTTCCTAGGTTTTCAACAACATTAATGCTTAGGCCTGGAAGGTACCATTCTTTTGCCT